TGCGCAGAGCACCTTGCTGGAAGCAAAGCGTGCATTATCGCTGTTTGTCAAGTCTTATCTGGGTACTGGTGTCCTCCCAACAGTGTGTGTTTCATTATCGTTTGAAGTCTGCAATTCCTTATCTTGCCCTGTCTCATTAATTGCTGCAGCGTGGTTTGTGTTGGTCTTTATTTATAATCTATATGTACTTTGAGTTCGGACTGAATTTCTTCTCTTTAAAAACTGTTCTTGGGAGACTGTTCTTTTTCTCCAGCTGAGGATAACTGGGCATTGGGAGCCAAGCTGGAGATATTAAAGGGAACTTTACCTAGTTTTGTGACTTTGTTGCTTTTGTGCCATGCTCCGGGTCATCACAGGACCTCAAAGTCCCAGCCAACCACGACTACTACATCAGGAGGCGTTCAGCTAGGGAAGGTCAAGCGAAAAGAAAAGTGGGTTGACTTGACTCCCATCTTTTCTTTCTCCGAAGCACATTCTCACACCTTAGCTCTGACCCGGGTTTTTTTTTAGACCTGAATTCTCTCTAAGCAAGTACTGCTTTCCTCCTCATTAATATGACTCGACAAGTAATTTCTCATTACTGACTGAGGTGTTTGCACACTTCACATCCCATTCATTACCGCTGCTGTGAGCGGTCCAGTCAACAACTGCCTTTTAATAGCCACCTATTCATTTCATCTGACAGCTAACAACCAAGCATCTCTTCCTATATACGATGAAGTATGCATGTCAGGGCCTCCAACCGAACCCTATGCATATGGCCTTGCTCTGCAAGTCAAATTTTAAATTTACTGCCGGGGTGTTTCTTATCTCTTTGACTAGCTGGCCACATTAAATTCCCATCAATGTTTTTTTTTACAGCCTGGCTCTTTTGAAAATGGTGACAAGGCGTTTGACTGCCATTACTCTGCCAAACCCCTTGTGAGAATAGGAGAGGCTTAGAAAATGGCTAATCTTCTCCAATGAGGTGTGATTTGTTAAGCGCGCAGAATGGTTTTTATTTAGGTGGCTCGAGACAAATGTAGAATGAGTTCCTCGGTAATGGGGAGCTGAATAAATGCGCTAAAAGTCCTTATGCGGGGCAGGTTTTGGAGCTCATCGGATACCTAGTAAGAAAAAGAGGAAGCGATAAAAAAATATCCCAGGTACAATTTGGAGGTTGAGAAGAAGAAAAATTTATGCCTCACTTCCCCAAAAGAAGCTTTTTTTTTTTTTTTAACTTTTGATTTTTGTTCACCTTCACCTAGGGTTATTTTTTAGCGCTTGTTAAAGAAAATTAGATAGACAGCCAGGGTATGGCTGCCTTATTCTAGAACGTTCTAGTGCTTCTCAGCTTTAGCAACCTGAAGAGATTGTGGAGTTCAACTCACAGAATTCCCCCTCTCGCTTAGCTGGCAGGGGAATTCTGGGGATTGAAGTCCACACCTTTTCAAGTTGCCAGGCCGGAGAAACACTGGTTTAGAGTACGTGTTTTCAGAAGAGAGGGATAGAAATGAAATATACACCGAAAGCCCCTGGAGCATTGGATTCTCTGAAGTTTGATCTCTCCGTGGCTTAAGTCCAGCTGTAATCCGCGGGACGGACTCTAAAGCTTGAATTCACGCAATGCAACGGGCACCTTGGGGGCCATGAGCCCTGGGAAGAATTGTATGACATAGCTACTTATTGCCAAGCAGCAAAGCCACTCTAGACACTCTATGAAATCCCTCCTCTATGGTATCGATCCCTGTCAACAGCTCTGCCTTGTTAGAAGAAGAGATACAATCTCTTACCTGCCCCCACCCCCCGCCTCCTCAAAAAACAGAAAGCTAGGAACCTCCAAGGAGTTAAGAAGGCAGATATATATTTTAAGCAGCTTTTTCCCATTCCTCATTCCGGGCATGCAAGTCCTAAGAGAACACCGTATCTTAATGCGATTTTGGCTAATGCCTCATTGGTCACATTTTTCAGGAGGAGAAGGAGGGGGGGGGGAAGAGGGAAAAGAAGAAGGAGGAGGAGGAGGAGGAGGAGGAGGAGGAGGAGGAGGAGGAGGAGAAGAAGAAGAAGAAGAAGAAGAAGAAGAAGAAGAAGAAGAAGAAG